AAAAGATGACATATTTTTCTGCCTTCTATTCTTTCTGATCCTGGGGGAACATGAGACAGCATAATTAATGGTTATTTCATATATTCCTATAGTACATGTAGAGGAGATTATAGGTTAGGAGGAAAGCTGTCTCCTTCATATCCATTTAACTAGCCTCCCAATGTCATGAAAATTTAACTGGATCCATGCCCAATAAGAAAAATACTACATTTCCCAGGTTCCTTTGTAGCAAAGTGCAGGCAAATGATCATTTTCTGACTAATGGGATCTAACTTGAAGTTGCGCCATCTGGATTGTGCCATTAATGGAAAGGTGAACTTTTGCTTTCCTATATCTGACTGCAAAACAAATGAGGAGTCATTTTTGAATCATCCAAACCAAGCACAGAGGAACAATATATCTCAAGAAAGGCTGAGCAGGAAGATAAAAGGAGTTGAAGCCCCAGCAGGATGAAGCACTGCCTAAAAGACAACTCAGAGAATTTCATGGAGCACATGCACCCTATCAGTTCACACACTGTCATATAGGAGAAAAACATTTCGATCTATTTTCATCACTATTAGGTTTGTGTCTCTTTTCCATACAGCTGACTGTATATCTCTTCACTAATGGAAACGTTATTAGTAAGTTTACAGTTTACATATTTTTAAAGGTAAAAGAAACTTACCACTAACTACTCAGTCAGCAGTTTTACAAGATCCTATAGATAGGTAGGAGTGACACCACTTTGGTTGTTTTTAATTACTGTACCTTAATTTTCTTTTAGACATTTGACTTACATTGTGATGTTCTCAAAAATGAGAATAATTTTACAAGTAAGTCTCATGTGTCCAGCCACTCTGCTACTTTTTGAATACAGATCACTCAGCATTCACTTTGCTTTCCAGTGAGTCCTTATATTACTTTTAGGTTTTGTCTATGAAGTAGAATAATGAGATACAGGTGGAAAAGCTTCCTCATCATTTCTACCTTGAAACTTTTGTTAACACAGAATGTAATACTGCCCACAAATTCGAAGGCAAATGTGTTTTAATCAAATATAAGGACACATTGCAAACTGAAAATGTCAGCACATTTCTGCCACAAGTGACCAAGGACTTAGGCAAGCTAAGTATAAACAACCATGTTGCATCTTCTGCAATGCAGTTATTAATAGTAACCTTTCTCCTCCTAAAATAAGATCTCACTTAGGTACTAAATAACATGTTCATCCTTGCAATTCTCAAGGGTGGCAACTGTAACACAGGCTTTCAGGTTGGAATGAAATGAGATTCATTTAGTAGCAGAGTCCAAAGGGTCTGTCAGACATAAATAGAGGCTAGTGATGGAGGCTAAGGAGTAGTTTCAACTAGAGAAAGAAATGTGAGGCTGGAATTGGAAGAGAAATACTTGTCACTCAGCGAAGTATAGCTATTAAAGCCAACTTCAGAGAATAATTGGCCAACCCTTGTTGCTGGAACAGAATGAGACACTTTGAAAGATAATTTGATATGGAGCTTCTTCAGTTATAGAGCTTATTTCACAAGTTTGAGGATGGAAAGAAGGACTTGATTTTTCATGCTCACTTAAATGCAATTTTTAAAGAGTTACATCAATCTACATCATCAAATATTGTTCACTGGTATAAATCTTTTTCAGTTTGTCTGGTACAATTAAACTGACTCTACTCTTATAATTATAATTTAGTAAAGATTGTAGACAGCCAGAAATAAGTAGTATATACTATCCTTAAAAGAGAAGTAAAGCAAAAGGCCCTTCCATTAGAGTAAACGATTTATATGCATGAGGGGACACACACACACACACACACACACACACACACAGGCAAGCCATTTTGTTGGTTACAACCAACACAAATTATAGAAATCTGTTGTTTGAAACATAAACTTCAGGTAATTTTTGTCTTGTTTGAAAGAGGAGCGTTTTATATCTGAATTGAACTAACTGTTGCCTCCTGTCCTACTTCTAACCTGAGAATGTCACTGATTGTAATAACATATCTAATTCTTTCATCTGTTACTTTTACAAACATAAAAAATATACTGAAATAAATATGGCTTGCTCTACACATTTATTTTTAAAACACTTTCATTACAAAAATCAAACACAAGTTGTAGTATACATGAAAGAAAAAAATGTACATCTTTTTTTTTTTTTTTTTTGGTACCGGGGATTGAACTCAGGTCCTTGCACTTGAGAGGTAGGCGATGGAACCACTGGGCTAAATCCCGGCCCTAAAATGACATCTTAATGACAATGAATAATAGTATTCCCACCAGGAAGGCGGAATAGAGTAAGAGCAAGCTGCACCCCCCACATTCCTACTTCCTTTAGAAAGGTTAATTCACCCAGATTTTTGTGTCGATAAATTCTTCACCTTGCTTTATATTTTTAACATTTATAGTCCTAAAGACTATAGTTTTGCTTACCCAATTTCTATTCTATAAAAATAATATCACACCCTATGTTTAGTTTTGGCTTCTTCAATCCAACATTATGTTTGTATCACTGTTCTCATTTATTTTCATCATTGTTTATTATTGTTCTTTAAAATGGGTGTAATTTATTCATTCCAACTTTGACAGGTACTTAAATTATTTATAATTTGGCATTATTTATATTTTTGCCTATTTGCAATGTCCTCTTTCATGATGTACACATTCAAGTTTTGAGAGTCATTATCTTGTTACAATGGAGAAGTTTGTATTCTGTATAAATGCTCCTTATCAATTAAATGTGTGGCACTGATAAAAAAATTTGTATGTTCATATTATCTTCATTCACTCTATGGCTTTACTTCTCAATTTCTTTCTTAATATTTTTATTTATTTTATTTATATTTACACATATTAATTGTATGTGTTTATGGATTCAGTGTGATATTTCCTTACATGTGTCCAGTGCACAACTATTCCATCAAACTACATTTTGTTCACCCTCAGCCTACTATACCAGTGGTGATGAACCTTAGACACACGTATTGTTTTATTTCTAAGACAGAAGATGTTAATATATGAGTTGTGTTTTCTAAACTAAAATCTCAATATTCAGGTTTAATTGCAGTGTTGTCACTTTGCAGTCTGGGCATTCATCTCTAAAATGTTCTCCATCACTGCCCTATACTTTCCTCTCAATACCTTCCCCAGACCATAGTAATCACTATTTTACTTTTAGATTGAGAGAGAACATGCTATACTTGCCTTTCTGTGTTTGGCTTATTTTGGTTAACATGATGCCCTCCACTTTTAATCCACTTACATTTAAATTGCATGATTTAATCCTTCTTTATGATTGAATAATGTTCATATATATATATATATATATATCTCACATTTTATTTATCCCTTATTCTGTAGATAACTGTATTGGTTAGAATTCTCTGGTGAAAGAGATTCGCTACAATGAATATTGATACACAGATTTACTAGGAAGGCTTCCTACAGGATCAGAAGCAGAAACAGAGATGACAACTCACAATGCTCATCTTCCTCATGCTGAAGACTCAGGAGAACGATTAGGCATTCAGTCCTGAAGCTGGAAGCTGCAGAAAAAGAGCGATCAGGCCTGGAAGCACCATGAAGAGTTAGAAGCATAAGTTTCCCTTGAAAGAATAAAGAAATTGGTGTCTGAAGTCCACAGGCATGGCAGCAAAAGATGCCCCATGCTCAAACAGCATAGAGTTTTAAACATAAGCCAACTTCCTCCTTTTCCCCTCATTCCATCTAGGCTGCAAGCCCATTGCATGGTTCCACTCACAACGTGGATGAGTCTCCCCTTCCTGAGTTTTCTGACTTGCATGCTAGTCATCTCTAGAAACCCTCTAAACACACCTAAAATCCTACCTTGCAGATCTTCTAGGTGTTTCTTAACTCAGTCAACATGACCTATCACAAACAGACATCACAGCTGGCAGGTAGATGGATTCCTTATCTTAGCTATGATTTGTCCTGCCACAATAATCATGGACATGTAGATGTCTCATTTGTTTGGTGACTTCATTTGCTTTGAATTTCTACCCAGGACTGGACTAGCAGGATCATATAGTAATTCTAATTTGGTTTTTTTTGTTTGTTTCTCATGTGAATCCTGTTTAATTTATTAATGCTTTTCCACATTTATTGCATCCGTAAATTTCCCTTCAGCATGAACTGTCTGGTGTTTTCTAAGGTGTAAATTTTGCACAAAGGTCTTTCAACATTTACTACATTCATAGGATTTCTCTTTGATACTAATGCTTTAATGTTGAATACAATTAGATCATTGGTACACTTATGATTATGTACACTATAACATCCTTTCTGACCTTCACCCTCACCCAAGTATTAAAAGGTCATAGCCTTTATATTTTCCCAATGTCACTTTTTTTTTTTTTGGTACCAGGGATCAAACTTGGGACCTTTAAATCCCCACCCCTCCAATGTCACTTTTTCAAATGGATCTGTTACATTTATAATGATTATTATAATGGTGTTTTTTTGTTTTCTTGCTTGTTTGATAGGATCTTGCTATGTAGTTCAGGCTGGGTTCTAACTCACAATGATTGCCCTGTCTCAGCCTTCCTAGTGGTGGGATTACAGGTGTGCACCAACATGCCTGGCTTGATTATGTACATTACTGCACCCTATCTGACCTTCACTTTCACCCAAGTATTAAAAGGTCATGGCTTTTACATTTTCCCAGTATCACTTTTTGAAATAGATCTTCCATGTCTTTCTCTGGTGAAATGCCTTTGGTTTACTGAGAAGTCATAGTTATACAAACACTTGGCTCTTTAGAAGTAACTGGCATAAACTCAGATATTTTCTGAGATGATGTATGTTCTTCATCTCTACTGACAAAGAAGTTTTTGTTGTGGACAGGTATTACACATTGGTTGTGTCCAGCATAACACAGGTTCTGACCTTCACTCTTACCAATACTTTCCCATTCTTTCCTTAAGTATAAATTGTCAAGGCCACAATTTCCATTTCTTCTCTTTATTACATGCTGGAACAAATGTTTTAGGCAATGGTCTCCTGAAAAGTCTTGGGTAAAATGAGCAGATACAGCTGGGTAAATGGCTACTATTTCTTCTCTCTTCACATTCCAAAGCTCCTTCCTTTGCTCCAGAAAGGTAAGGAGATATGGCTTAGATACAGCAAGACCCAGGAAGATCAGGTTTCAGTAGTTCTTTAACATCATGTCCCTATATAAATTCCATTGAGCAGCGTCTAGGCATTCCCATTCCTCTGGAGAGAAATCAATGACCACATCTCTGAATGTCAACAGTTCCATTTCTGGGGTGGCCAGCATTCTCCTTGTAGGTCTCCCATCTCTGCAAGTAACAGCACGACAATGGCTGCTGCAGGGACACCTGGCACATGCGGGACACTGGAGCTAAGCAGAAGGTGCCTGGACGCAGATCCCAAGATTGGCGGGCTCCACACAAAGGCCGGCGAGACTGTTCTAATTTGGTATTTTTGAGGAAGTCCCACACTGATTTCCTCAGTGAATCTACTATTACACATTGCCACCAAGTGTGTGCGAGAGTTACTTTTTCTCCACATCCCAGCCAGCACTTGGTTTGTTCATTTGTTTGTTTGTTTATAATAGCCATGCTAACCAGTATATCATAGTATCTCATGGTATAGTGATGGTTTGATTTGAATTTCCCTGGCAGCTGGACGATATTGAGCAGTTTTCCTAATTTTATTTGTCCCTATTTTTAGCTGTATCTATACATTCTACACTTAGGTCTACAATCTACCTGCAATTGGGTTTTGTGTATCAATTACTGGTGAGGAAGAGGTCTAGGCTCATGTTTATATATTTATCCAATATTCTCGATTGAAATGTCCTTTTCCTGGTTTACTTTTGGATATCTATATCTATATCTATATTTGTATATATATATATTTGTATACATAATATGTGTCTGCAAGTGCTGCATTCTATCAAGTGTAGTTAGTGTAACATGTCTTACTTTTCCTCTTTATTATTTGGAAATATTTTTTCAGGGTAATGGTTTACATGCTGATATTTCAAAAATTTTATCTATATAGATCTTTTCTAATTTTTGCTTTTTTGATGGTTTCTCTCATTTTATATCTACTGATTATTGATTCTCATTGGTTTTGGTTTTTATTTTCTACTTTTTGGTTTTATATTAGGCATTTATATTTTTATTTGAATTATCTTCCTTTGGGTTTTGAGTGTCTGATCATGTTGATTAATATCTTTCATGAACTTTCAAAAATTTACAAGCATAGTATCTTTCAAATGATCTTTATAATTATTCTTTTTACCTTCTGTTTCTGGAATTCTAGTTAAATATATATTAACATATTTAACATTTAAAATTAATCTATTACACAGAAACATATGTTTGTAGAAAATAATATGAATTATATAAGAAAATATTAGAACTAGCTTCTAATATGTGACACTTTAGAAACATTCTGTTAAGACTGAAATAAGTGTCATCAATATTTGATTTCATTTCAGTTTATAGGAATCAGTTTTGGAAACAATTTATAGCTTACATGAACGTAATCTTTCTCAAATGGAAAATCTTATGTGTTCTAATATGGGCATCTCTGTCCAATTTTAATATTTCATTTTTATTGGTAAGTAATAGTTAAAAGAAAATTAATTGCTTTTCTTTTTTATTTTATGAAAACTTTCATAACCAAATAATAAGCACATAACAACAGTTACTAAGCAGTGTATCATTATCTTCAAAGTAGTTACTCAGAGTACAAGACATAAACCTCATAGTCTTACAAAAAACGAATAGATACAATAGTTTATTTTCAATGAACTAAGATAAACTAGTAGTATAAATGAAACAAATTAACATATATATTGAAAATATTTTAAAACCACAGAATGAGTAATTTGGTAGATTTCAAACTCTCCTGACTTCCTATTTATCTCTTTTCTATTTCACTCTTTGTGCACAAACACACAAACACACACAAACACACACAGTATTTCTCATAAAAGAGAAATCATGCAATATTTGAGCTTGTGTGACTTACTTCACTTAACATTATGGTCTCAAGTTGCATCCATTTACCTATGAATAAAATTATATTTTTATTTACTGAATTATTCACTTGCTTTTATTTATTTCTTGTACTGGCTAAAACTTATAAAATAATATTGTATAATAGTGCCAAGTGTTGGCTCTTTTTCCTGTTTTTACAAGAGCTATATGGAGAAGTAATTTACATGACATAAAATTCACACATTAAAAATGTGCAATTTATTGGTATTTACTATTTTCACAGAGTTTGGGAACCATTGTTATGAATAAATTTTAAAGGATTTTCAGGTTCTCCTGCACACAAAAATCCATAACAACGAACAGTCTTTGTGATTGGCATAGTACCTCTTCCTTTCAGTCTCTGGCAACACCTAATCTACTTTATTTTTTATTTCTTTTAATTATTCAAATTGAAATTAGCATATGATTGCGGTATATAATGATTACATTCAAACCGGAGACTTGGTATATGAGCATAGTTCATATTGATTATTTTAAATTTTCCTTCCACTTCACCCCTACCTCCATTAATAAGATCCTATGTCCATTTGCAATATATCTATCCATCTCTCTCCATCCTTTATTTTGCACTTTAAATTCTTTATACATTAGGTTTCATACCCAAGAAAAACCATGCAATATTTAAGCTTGTATGTCTGATTTTTTGTCACCAAAATTAAGGTCTCAAGGTGCATCCTTTTTCGTACAAATGACTCAAATTTATTTTATGGCTAAATAGTACTCCAATATGTATAAATAGCACATTTTATTCATTCATCTGTTAATGGATATATAGGATATTTTCAATATTTAGCTATTATTAATTGTGCTGCTATAAAAATGATTATGCATAAATCACTGAAATATGTTATATTTAACTCTTTGGGGAAGATATCTCAAAGCAGAGTAACTGAGTCTATTGGAATTTATAGTTTTAGTTTTTTTGAGACATTGAGACACTTTTTCACAGTAGTTGTAGTGGTTTACATTCTCACCAACAATATAGAAGGGTCCCTTTTCCCTGCAACTATGCCGGCATTTATTTTTATTTGATTTCTTGGTAATAGCTACTCTTTCTGGAATAAGGAGGAATGTTAGTGTTGTTTTAATTTTTGTTTCTCTCATGGCCAATGATATTGATCATCTTTTTAATATTTTCATTGACCATTTGTAATTCTTCATCTGAGAAGTACATATTCTTTTTGATTGCCCATTTCTGTTCGTGTCTTTTATTTTGTGAGTCTGTTTTTAATTCTTTATATATTATAGATATTAGTACTCTGTCCAAGGAATAGCAGCTGAAACATGTTTCCCATTCTGTAGGTTGTCTTTTTATTATATTGGTTGTTTTTCTGTGCTGTGTAGAAGATTTTTACTTAGATATGATCCCATTTGTTAATTCTTGGTACTATTTATTGTTCCATTGGAGTTTTGTTCAGAAAGTCCTTGCCTATGCCTATGACTTCAAGAGTTTTATCTATCTTATCTTCCAACAGATTAAGTGTTTCTGTTTTAACATTTAAATCTTTGATCCACTTTGATTTTATTTTAGTAGATGATATTAGACATGGGTCTAGATTCAATCTTTGGAATGTGTGTATAGCCAGTATTCCCAGAATCATTTGTTAAGGAGGCTGTCTTTCCCCAGAATATGTTCTGGGCCCCTTTGTCACAGTTCAGACACCTGAATGTGCCCAGGGTTGTTTCTGCATCCTCTGTTCTATTCCATTTCTCTACAGGTCTGTCTTGTGCCAGTGCCATGCTATAGCTGTGTAATATAACTGGAAATTCAAGATTCATTTCTCTTTCTTTGCTCTTGTTGCCTAAGCTTATTTGTGCTATTCTAGGTCTCTTTGGATTCCACATGAATTTTAGGATTTTTTTCTGCTTCCGGAAGGAATGCTGTTGGCATTTTTTGAAGACTGTAATACATGCATATATTAGTTTTGGTGGTATGGCCACTTTAGAAACATTGATTCATTTTATCTAGGAAGAGGGGTATCATTCCATTTTCTGATATCCTCTTCAATGAAGTACAGCATTAGGTTATTAATTTGGATTTCTTTTGTCTTCCTGATGTGGGCATTCTCAGCTAATACACTACTCTCTTAGGATTGTTTACAACGTATCCCATATGCTTTCATATGTTGTGCTGGTATTATCATTTGTCTTTAGGAACTATTTAATTTCTTCTTGATTTCTTCTGTGATGCCTTGTTTAAACCATATGTGTTTGCATATTTTTGTGGTTCCTTTTGCCACTGATTTCTAGTTTCACTGCTATCTGATCTGATAATATGGAATAATTTTGATTTTTTTTGTATTCATTGAAGCATGCTTTATCAGTTAGTTGGTGGTCTAGTGGAGAACACTTCATGTAATCTTGAGGGGTATGTGTGTCCTGTTGTTGATGGGTGGCATACACTGTAGATATCTGTTAACTCCATTTATTCAAAGGGGTGATTCAACTCTGCTATATCTTTGTTGATATTTTGTCTAGTTCACCTGTCCATTTGCAATAGTAGGGTACTGAAGTCCTATGGAGACTTGGCTGGAGGAGTGAATGATTAAAATCATGAATGGGCCTGCAGGGCAAAAGCACATATGCCCTGCAATGTATGGTTAAATATTAGGGAAGCAAGCTAGGTCTGGCCTTTGTCCTTCTCCCGGCCTGATAAATTGCTTGGATTAACCTTAAAAGTGTCACGTAGCAGACCTCCTTGTTCTTTGACACTCAATTTTATTTTCCTGTCTTTCCCGGCAGTAAAGGCCAGAGAGTTCTGGACTGCTCCCTTAAGACTCCCTCCTCCTGGTGCTCTGGTCAGAACAGTCTCTCTGGGCCTCTTGGTGTTCAGATCAAGCCTCATCGCTGAGTAACCTTTGCACCCTTCCTGCTGCTGTGGTCACATACTGTGACAAGGTGCCCTTTATACTGGTGTTGCTTAATTGATCTTTTAAGTCCAGTAGTGCATCATCTGTTCATTTCTGGCTTGACATTCACTTTGTCTGAAAATAAGATAGTTCTTCTTGTCTTCTTTTGGATTTCTAGTATTGCATGGAATATTGTTTTGCATCTTTTGTTTTCAACCTGTGAATTTTGTTTTTGTTCAATGTGTTTGTTGTATATAGTATGTTATTGGGTTTGGGTTCATTATTTCAATCTGTGTCTTTTAATTAGGGAATTGAGTCCAATCACATTGAAAGTTACTACTGAAAATTATTATTATTATTATTATTATTATTATTGGTACCTGGGATCGAACTCG